ACAGATCCCGCCACACACAGATCCCGCCACACACAGATCCCGCCACACACAGATCCCGCCACACGTATACAACACACAGAGCGGTACAGATCCCGCCACACCGTGACACGTATACAACACGCAGACCGGTACAGATCCCGCCACACGCAGATCCCGCCACACGCAGATCCCGCCACACGCACACACAATGATTCTCTCACCTGGACGGAGGTGAATATTCGCGCCAGGGAGCCGAGGAATAGAAGCGTCACGGTGATGGCCGATAACTGACCCGTGTGGCCGTTCCTGTAGTTGGTCATCACTTGGATCAGCTGTAAGAGGTAAGTGGCCGTTACACAGGATACGGTAGGTGGCCCCTCCCAGTGCGGGCTCAGAGGGACACGCCACACGACAACGTACTCACCCTGCTAATAATAACCGCCGGCACATTGGTCGCCTGGAGCACCGTGACCACCGCCATGGGGACCACGGGAGACAGGAGGACGGCCACAATGGAGAAGTATATACCGAGGAGCAAGATTCCTGGGGGGAGGGGAGAGAGTGCACAGGGGTGAGCGCCGGGATAGGGAGCGAGCGCCGGGATAGGGAGCGAGCGCCGGGATAGGGAGCAGGGGTGAGCGACAGAGACTGAGAGAGGATAGGGAGCAGGGGTGAGCGCCAGAGAGAGGATAGGGAGCAGGGGTGAGCGCCAGAGACAGAGAGAGGATAGGGAGCAGGGGTGAGCGCCAGAGACAGAGAGAGGATAGGGAGCAGGGGTGAGCGCCAGAGACTGAGAGAGGACAGGGAGCAGGGGCGAGCGCCAGAGACAGAGAGAGGATAGGGAGCATGGGCGAGTGCCAGAGACAGAGAGAGGATAGGGAGCAGGGGTGAGTGCCAGAGACAGAGAGAGGATAGGGAGCAGGGGTGAGTGCCAGAGAGCAGGGATCAGGTGCCAGGGATAGGGATCAGCAATGGTAATACCCAGGTTTGTGCGGCTCCCCAGGTGCTGGATGAGAAATCCGATGACGAGAGTCTGGATCATGAGGAAGAGAACCTCCCCCCAGGCACTGCAGAGACACGGGACAGTACATCAGGTCGGCGCCGTTACCACGTATCAAATACAAGGAGCAGCAGAGGAGCCCCAAGAATTCCCTACTGCTCCCTACTGCTAGAGACCCCATGAAAGGCATTTGTAAGACTGTAGTGAATGCGGCAATAGTGTCATGTGACCTCACCAGCCATCCATTCACCCTCAGGGCAATTGATGGTAAAGAAAGAGGGCAGTTGATGGTGGAAAGGGCAGTAATCAGGGGCAGTTGATGGTGGAAAGAGCAGTAATCAGGGGCAGTAGCTGGTGGAAAGGGCAGTAATCAGGGGCAGTAGCTGGTGGAAAGGGCAGTAATCAGGGGCAGTAGCTGGTGGAAAGGGCAGTAGATACCGTGCAGCAGGTTGTATTGGAGAAAGAACTCATCATAGCAGCTCTCGGGAAGGATCGCCGGCACCAGGACACCTCTAAGCGCCTCCATCTTCCCCGGTATTCCTCTCACTTCCGGGTCCAATGGAAGCACGATCTGTCTTTACACGTCACTTCCTATCCCGACCGGAACAATGGGTTTCCGCCATGTCAAGTGAGGGCAAGGGGAGGAGTGTGGCGTCTATGAGTTCCCTACCGGGCATTTTCTCGGGTCGCTGACCCCGCCCACACAGGCCGTACTGACTGCTAACAGGAGCAGTGCGTTGTCCCCGCCCCGTACATCTGATAGCGCCGCCCCCTGGAGAGGAAACAGGAACACGTATCAGTCAGTGAGCCCCGCCTTGCCGCAACTGTTGCCTAAACGACGAAAGAGAAGACGGGACCCGCCCAGTACACCGGAACTTTTCACTTGACCACGCCCCTGCATATATGTCAGTGTTTCCAGGGTAACCAATCTGTCAGAAAAAGGCGGGAAAAGCCCCCTGACAGGAATGGATGAGGTATTGATGTGATGGAGGAAGAGGACAGTGAGGTGGAGGAAGGCTTCTCTTATCATGGAGGAAGATGGCAGCCGGAGAGGGCCGGTGTGATGGAGGGCACCAGTTGTGGCACAACAAGGTGGCCGCTATCCTACAGGCCTGAGCCGTGGTCCTGGAGAAATGGCCGTCAGTCGGTGTCAGAAGTTTTGGCACCCCGTGCTCATGGCTCGTGGCTGGAATCAGATAGTCCATGGACACAGGAAATATGTGGAGCGAAGGGTGGACATCCTAGCGGCCATCCAGAAAGCCCAATGGAGAGTAAAGCTCGTGGAAGCAAGCGGTTCACTACGTGGGGTTTGGGTACCAGATACGGCAAGAAATCCGCCATCAGAACCGACAGCGGTGTGTATGATAATCCTACTGGCCCACATCCCATTGGGAACAACGCTCCGAAGAATTTCACCTCAGCTTCAACCCCAAAGGATGCCTCTGTCTTCCAAAATCATGGACCGGGGGGAAATCGAACACCAACAAGGGAAGGCCCTGGTGGGACAGAGGCGCACAGCAATTCCGGGCCTCTATCTGAGCTGTGCGCGGGAACGGTCGCCCTCTGTTCACTTTACTACGTCCGCCTGAAGAAAGAACGGCAGCTGAGGGACTCTGAGCGCCGGAGACGAGTTTTCTTTTTCCGGCGCTCTAAAGCGAGGGAGAGGCTCAACTTTGCCATGATGTGGGCGTCCAGACTGTTAGCCGGGGAGGAGACGCCCTCGGGCTCTCCATCTGGGGATGGCTGGGAAGGGCAAGAGTCTCGGATTTGGAACACCATCATCGATAAGACCTTCTCGCGCTTTGATTGGATCGAGAGCTTCCGCATGACGAAATCGACCTTCGATTTCCTGTGTAGCCAGCTGCGATCGGTCTTTCAGAGGATGGACGCCAACCTGCATCAAGTTATCCCGGTGGAAGTGCGGTTGGCGGTGACGCTGTGGCACCTGGGTTCCTCCTGTGATTTCCAGTCGATGGAGAAGATCTTCGGGTTCTCCTGCTCCACCATACGTACAATTGTCCGAGACGTGTGCGAGACGGTGGCATCCATTCTTGCCCCTAAATTAATTTCCATCCCCCGAGGAGGCGTTCTGCAAGAGGCGCTTAAGGGTTTTGAACACCGCTACGGTCTAGCGCAGGTGGCCGGGGTGATCGGTTCCTTACATGTGGCCATAGGTTCCACTAATGACTCCACAGGTCAGTTCTATAATACCAAAGGTTGGCATTCTGTGGTTCTCCAAGCAGTGGTGGACCACGACTTCTGCTTTTGGGACCTTAACGTCGGCTGCCCTGGTAGCCTGTCGGATTCTCAGGTATTGGTGGCCTCAGAGCTTTACGAGAGGGGTACAGAGGGAACTCTGTTTCCCGACACGACCAGGAACATTAACGGCATTGAGGTCCCCCTCCATTTATTGGGGTCACGTTCTTATCCTCTCCTCCCGTGGCTTATGACGCCCACCGCCATAGAATCAAGTGCAGCCGATGTGGAGCTGAACAGGCGCTTTATGTCCGCCCTGACGTTGACGCAGATAGCCTTCGGGAGGCTGAAGAGCCGTTGGCGTTGCCTGTTAAAGCGCAGCGACGTGGACCTCGCCTTCCTGCCGATTCTGGTCACCGCTTGCTGCGCGCTTCACAACGTCTGCGAATGCCGCAGAGAACCTTTCGAAGATCACTGGCTGGAAGAGGCCTCCGAAGAGGAACTAGAGCAGCCCAGTGAGGTAGAAGAGGATGATTTGGAAACGGAGGGAGCGGCGGAGGAGATACGAACCGCCCTTGCAAAGGGTGTGCGAACTTGAAACATTCGACGCGTGACAGGTCCACATGGGCTAAGTTTGCTGCCAGACTTTCTTAACTTTTTTCTTTTATCTGTGTTTTTAGATTCCTTCACGTGTCCAATTAATATATTATGGTGAAGAGTTACTGTAGTTGTATGGATGACGCTTGTTGTGGTAAATGAATCTCGTGTTTTATGATTGAATCTCTCAGACTCTCGCGTTGTCATTTCTATACATTGGGGTCGTTGTAGATAACTTTAGTTAATTTGTTTTACCGCAGTGGACCTCTCTGTCCTGACGGTTCACATGTGCACGTGGTGCTGTGCTACAACACAAAAGCGCATGTGGTTGCGATTGTTCATTTCACTGGCCATTATTGCAAAGCAGTGGTATGAAAGGGCCCCAATTCTCGGGCCACGGCTCCTTCAAAGTAGGCATGAGCTTCGAGTTTGCCCATCTGCCGAACCTCCGTCTGTGTCCTAGCAACCAATGACCTTGCACAGCGTGCACACCATCGGTTGGTGGCTGAGCCGCACAGCATCATTGGTTGCTAGGACACAGATGTCCTAGCAACCAGGACATCTTGCGGGTGCACCATTACAACCTGGGGCTGCCAGCATCTTAGCATCCAATGAGGCTGTGCGAGCCGCAGAGTGTCATTGGTTGCTAGGATGCTGCCAGCCCCACTGTGTCATTGCTTGTGATGGTATGCCCACCTGTATCCTAGCAACCAGTGATACTGTGTGGGTCGCAGAGTGTCATTGGTTGCTAAGATGCTGCCAGCCCCACAGTGTCATTGGTAGTTATGGTGTGCCCGCCAGCATCTTAGCAACCAGTGATACTGTGCAGGCCAACCGCTAGCAACCAATGGCACTGGGTTGCAGCAAGTTATTGGTTTCTAGGACAAAGGCGGCCCTGAGTTCGGTCTTGGACGTTTGGCGGCATTTTGAGAGAGAAGTCAGCACGCCGGCTCTGCCCACTTATTCTGGGTCAGAGACATTTGTATTATTATTTCAGAGTAAAAGAGAGGCAACTAACATTCTGATGGAGGGAGATTTCTTCTGGCTTAGGATGTCTTTAAATGTGTATAAAACAGGAAATGTATTCCCTGCAGATGTTTCAGAGTTGATGGATTTAATGCTGTGTTTCCCCGGCATAGTGATGAGTGAACTGGCGTGGGTTCAGTTCGATTGGACATTCGTCGAACCTGGCCAGAAATCCGGGTTTGGCAAAGGTCCAAGGAAACCGAACCTGAGACCGCCTGTGTCCTTGTGACCAATGATGCTGTGCAACTTGCATAGCATCATTGTTTGCTAGAAGCTGAGCTACACAGCGTCATTGGTTGCTAGCAGCTGGGTTACACAGCATCATTGTTTGCTAGGACGCTAGCAGCTGGGCTACACAGCGTCATTGGTTGCTAGGACGCTAGCAGCTGGGCTACACAGCGTCATTGGTTGCTAGGACGCTAGCAGCTGGGCTACACAGTGTCATTGGTTGCTAGAAGCTGGGTTACACAGTGTCATTGATTGCTAGAAGCTGGGTTACACAGTGTCATTGGTTGCTAGAAGCTGGGTTACACAG